TGTTTTAGGATTATTGATACCTTTACTAGATCTGCTAGTCCTATCAAAATTTTGTTGTTTTTGAAAATACTTCTATAAAATTATATAATATATTATATATAAATCTTGTTTATTTCTCTTAGATTTGCTCATAAGTTTTTTACAGTGTTTATATTGTGGTTATTAATTGTTAATAATATATCAAATTTAATTATTTGTTTATTAATGTAATCATGTTCTTTCCAGTTCTTTATTTATTGCTTCTAGCAAATTACATTTAATAATTTTTCTTTCAAAGGAAAATTATTATTATAATCCTGAAATAAACTCAGTTTGGTTATCTATGTTCATTTTATATACTGATTTGGTTTGGTACTGTTTTAAGATTTTACAACAGTTTTCATAAATGAGATTGACTTTTTCTTTCTTAATACATTCTCATCTACTAACAGCACCAAATTAATTTTAATTTTAGTGAAAGAAATAGCAACTATTCCTTTTTTTTTCCTATCTAGAAAAGTGTGTAGGTTATACTAATCTCTTTCTTGAAAATTTATTATTTCTCTTCTGTGAAACTATTTGCCTTTTGTGTTATCCATATGGAAAGATTTTAAATAACCTGCTGATTTCATAAAAATTATTCTAGCTTTATCAACTTTGCAGAATTAACTAGTGCTTATGTCAATTTTATCTCATGCATATTGTACATAGCAAATAGTTGTGATGTCTGTTCTATTAACTGAAGATTATTCCTAAAATTATCTCATTGATTGAATAAAGTGCGGATTCACTGATTAAATTTTGTTTTCATGTGCACATGTTTAATGAGAGTTAATATCAGTGATTCTGCTTTTTTAGCTGTTTCCCTTTAGAATGGTTCTTTGTTTGCTTTCTAAAGTGCCCATGAGTTTTATTATTATTATAACAATCTTTTTATTTTATTTTATTAAATTTATCAGTGTGACATTGGTTAATAAAATTATATAGGTTTCAAGTGTACAACCCAATTATACATTATCTATGTATTGCTCTGTGTGTTCATTAAAGAAGCTCCAAATACTTATTTTATAAGTAATGTTTTTTTAAAGTTTAGAATAGTCTTAAATTTACAAAAAATCACAAAGATAGAGAGTTCTCACGTACCCATACCATTTTCTATATTATTCACAGTTTACATTAATATGGTACATTTACCATGGTTAATAAACTGATATTGATTCATTATTATTAAATAAAGAACATACATTATTTAGAATTTCTTAGTTTTTACCCAATGTTCTTTTTCTGTCCTTTATCCTATCGAAAATAATACATTACATTTAGCCATCATATCTCTTTGGGCTCCTTTTGGCTATGGCAGTTTCCTTATCATTTTTTGCTACAACAAAAATTATGAGTAGCTAAAAATAACAACATTAAGACATTAGTAATTATGTTGCTATTCTAGCAAAAGATTTGGTGCTATTATTCTGAGTAATAAAGGGCGAGTAATATAACAGGTGATATTCACAAGGAAAAAGGAGAAAAGGGCTCTATTTAGAAGAAGAGGTTGATCTGAGACACCCACATATATAAAAAATAAAATAATATTAACCATAAATTGATAATTATTTAAGCTAAGCATGTTATGGTTTATCAAGAAAGTTTTATTTTGTATACACTTTATATTTTCACAATTAAAAGGTCTTATATGTACACATATATGTATACATACATTATATATATCTTTATGTGTGTATGCATATATATATATAAAACATCTGTCTATACTTTCAACTTAGATGATACAGCAAACTTGATTCCACTCAAATTTATAATAACAAGTGCACAGAATGATTAAAAAGTTTATTTAATTTTCTTCTCTTTTTTCACACAACACTTACAACTTTATCATATAACAATTTTTCACTTTTGATTCAGAAAGAGATTATATAATTCTACTATTTGTTTCTCAAAACTCTGGAAAACTTTTTACATCAATTTTAAGTAATAAAATGATATTAGAACCTAACATTTATTTTGCCAATTAGAGACATTTTTTGTGTGGTGATGAGACGGACTGCCGTGGTTTGTGTTGTTTTTCAACAGGAAGATGAGATTAGAATATTTGTCATATTATGCTCGGGGATCAAAATTGATTGGATATCTCGTTGCAATTGCAAACTGAGAACTCAGGACACGTCTAACTTTTTCACAAGAATCAGGATCTTCTTTCTCTGATCAGGTGTGTGTGTCTCTCTGTGTGTGTATGTGTTTTGAACAGTTATTATTTAAGTAATGAGGCACTCTTGAGGTTTCAACCTCAAGAAAGTTTCTAAAAATATTTTCATTATAAGATAATTCTGTTTCTTAAGTGTTTGAATAGAATTACTGAAGAAAAGGAATCATTATTTCTGAAGTGTACTCTTTCACTTTCCTCAATGGTTGATAATTAGTATAAACTTATTGGAAAATGAAAAGCTATGATGTAGCTATAAGATGGAACCTTGTCTCTAAACAAAACTAGAAGATGAATCTTTACATTTGAGGTTAAAGAATTGAATTTCAGTTTGAATTCTCTTATGATTTTTGTGCTCTTATGCAAGGCACTTATCTTACGTGACACACAACTTTAGTTGCAAAATAAAACCAATTATATCTGTTGCTTCCAGCTGTCATGTTTATATATAAAACAGATTTTATTTTTTAAATTTAAGCACTATGCATATGTATTAAATAGCTATTTTTTCTGAGAGCTTTTCTAGACACTATATTACTATATAAATGTGAGGTTATTTTTGTTAATGATGCTAATAACTTATAAGTGATGATGATATAGACAGAAGCAGAATTAAAATGTATTAGAAGAAAGCATTCAACAAAAATTCATGTATCCTACCCAATTTACCTGCAAAGAAAGCAATTATCACCAAATAAAATAAAACAACTATAAATAAGAACTGTTGTCATTCAATATCAGTGATGCAAATTTTTTTTGATTAAGTGTCTTAATGTAAGAGAATTAAAAACACCCATTATATGTTTTTACATTTTTTAAATTAGTGTTTATTATTTTATAATGAAGATAAATTTAAAAAATAAATTTTAGAGTTTTTATATAAATTCTCTTTTCTTCGTTCTTTTCTTATTTATACATGCATGGGGAAAATTTTTCTGGATTCTCACTTTTTCAATCAAAATATGTCAACTCACCACAAGGAAAGAAAACAAAAAAATAAATAAATACATGATTTATTTTCTTTAGGAACCTTTGTAAAATGAAGACTTTGAATTCATCTCTGGAGTAGATAAACATTCATAATTATATGATGGGGCTGATCCGAGATCGATGGGCTCATCACAACATGGGTATGTACTTTCTACATAAATGTGTAATTTGGCCTGTGTATAATTTTACTGTAGCCAGAATTTGATATAAGCATGTAAGGCACAGGAAAGCAATTTACACTTATTCACTTATGTTCATTTTATGTTCATTTCATGTTATGTTCATGTTATATTTTAAATCAAGTTTTCAAAACCTCGAAAGCTTTTTTCCCTCTTATTTCATTAACTATCTAAAGTCTCTCACAATTTGAGGCAGCCTGGAATAGTGACAGCATCAGAATCTGAAATTTGAATTTTAATCAAACTTTTTGCAGTCTCTAGCTTTGAGATAAGGAGTAATCCACAGCCCCCATGCAGTTGTTTTCTTTTCTATAAAGTAGAGATATAAAACATGTGATATTCATCTTAGTGAATTTCTATAATATTCAAATAAAATAATATTTTTAAAAGTATTTCTTAAACTGAAAGTGTTATAAATTACTCATAGTTGGTAATTTCCTTCCTTCCTTCCTTCCTTTCTTTTCTTTTTTTAAATTTTTAAAGTTATTAACTGAGTAAATGTGGCTCATTATATTAAATAAGTAATGTAATATTGGCTACCTCTAAGATTCAATTTCCTCATTCATAAAATAATACCAACCCTTTTCACATATTTAAAAATTAAATTACACATTGTATGAACAAACAATGTTTTTTCTTAGTTTAATTATATATATAAAAAGTAATTAAAATTAGCATTTCATTTATAAAAGACTTTTACATACTTGGTAATTTTTACTATTTTAAGAGGAGAGCAAAATTATTTTTTACTTGTTTTGTTCAGAGGCAAGATTCTTTGTCTTTATCTTAAAGTTTTAGACTGTGCTTTTATTCTTTGTGTGTCCTTTACTATAAAGAAAATTAGACACACTAAACTCTACTAAGTGTTTAGTTTGTGATTGACATAATTGATACTAAGTGCATATTATTTTATTTCACTTTTTAAAATACCCATACCATGTTGTATTGATAATTGATTGATATCCTTTGTTTTATTTCCTCTTCTTTCTCTCTTTCTCTTTCTCTATCTCTCCTTTCTTTTTCTTTCTTCCTTCCTTCCTTCCTTTCTCTTTCTTTCTTTCTTTCTTTCTTTCTTTCTCTCTTTCCTTCCTTTTTTCCTTCCTTTTTTCCTTCCTTCTTTCCTTCCTTCCTTCCTTCCTTCCTTCCTTCCTTCCTTCCTTCCTTCCTTCCTTCCTTCCTTCCTTCCTTCCTTCCTTCCTTCCTTCCTTCCTTCCTTCCTTCCTTCCTTCCTTCCTTCCTTCCTTCCTTCCTTCCTTCCTTCCTTCCTTCCTTCCTTCCTTCCTTCCTTTCTTTTCTTTTTTTAAATTTTTAAAGTTATTAACTGAGTAAATGTGGCTCTTTGAATTAAAGATGTGTCTAACTTTCTAGGGCCCTGTCTTTTTCATTATACAGTATCTTTTGTTTAATGTTAGATTTTATTACACATTAAGAATGAACTTTTTTTTAATAGTACACAGGATCTTGCTAAAAATATTTTGCTGTAAAAATATAATTTCATTTATATTACAAAGTGTAAAAATCATAATAATTAAATAATATAAAACAAAAGTAACTTGTTATTATACTTTAAAAAGAAAAAGATAGAAATGGCAAGTTAAATTTTAAAAATTTGTGATCCAAGTGGCAGGAAGGCCATGACTCATATTGGCCTGAACTGTTTTTCTCCAGAGATGAATGAATCCCATAATTATAAATTTGAACTTGCAAATCATGATACTTTTGTACTCTCGCAAAAGAAAAGACCTGCATTAATCACAAACACGTTTGGAGAAAACCGTAAGTACTATACTCTGTTTAACATCTTGAGGTGGAAATTGGAAACTATGTGATTATCAACATAAATATTCAGTTAATTTTACCTTCATGAAGAAGCAGAAATGAGATTAATATAATATTGAAATATATAATAAATTAGCAGAATCTCTTGAGTTTAGGATCTTTTCATAACCTAAAAAATGATGATTATCATATTAATGACAATTGAGACAGTAGTTTCTAAGGGAATACTGAACAATTAACTTTAAAAAGGAGTAAATAAAAATGAAAAACAAGAGAAAAGAATTTCAAAATATCCTTTAGTGTTACATTTTTAAAAAGTATAGAAACAATGACTTGATTGCTAATCACAAACTGTTTCTGTGTAGTGAAAAAGACATGCTCTCTGTCCTTCATCAAGGCAGAATATGATTGAAAATGGAGCCTGACACTCACTCAGCCATTAAAAGAAATGAAATCCTACCATTTGCAATTACACGAATGGATCTAGAGGTTATTATGCTGAGTGAAATAAGTCAGACAGAGAAAGATAAATACCACATGATTCCACTTATATGCAGAATCTAAAGAACAAAAAGAACAAACTAATCAAAAACAGACTCACAAATATCATGGACAATTTGGTGATGGACAGAGGGGAGGTGGATTGGGAAGTTGATAGTTGGTCAAGGGGATGGGGAGCACAGCTAGGTGGAGGGCCAGGGGAGGGAGGGAGCAATTGGGGGGATCATTTTATGAACTATGTAGATGTCTAACTAATGTACTGTATACTTGAAACTAATTTAAATAAATAAATTTAAAAGAAAGAAAATGTAGCCTAAAATAGCTTACATTAAAAGAAAAATAACAGACTACTCTCACCTATATATTATAAATGATTTATAATAAAAATAAATGATTACCAAATAGTATCACTTTCAAGAGTTAATTATAGAAATGAATATGTGTCATATGTAATAATAGAAGATTGTAGATCATATACATAATATTAAAAGGTTTTGGATAAAAATCAATATAAATTCTTAATTTACAAAAACTTAATTTTAAAACCTCTAAAATATAAATACTGCCTTAAGGACATATGCTGTCATTAAGCTTATTGATAAGTGCTAACAGCATTTTCATCATAGTTAGAAAAAAAACAAGAATAAAAGGGCAAAATTAATATTAGCAAGAATATGTGATTTAAAATATTTTAAAAACATTCAAAAGCTTCACCCCAAAATATTACAAGCAATAAGAAAAACCGATATGTAGATTTGATTGAAAATAAGATGTAAAAATAAGATATAGTTTTAATAACTACAAAAACAAAAACAAAAAATGATGAAAGAAAAATACCATGTTTATAAGACCAAAAATCAGAAATAAACTTTTTAATTAAAGCAACAAATGAACAAGACAAACAAACAAAAACTCATAGACAACAGACAACAGTTTAGTGGTTACCAGAGGAAAAGTGGAGGGAGGAGAAGGTAGATAAGGGTAAAGGAAGTCAAATACATGGTGACAGGAGGAAATTTAACGTTGTTTGGTGAACACATGATACAAAACACAGATGTCTATTATCTAATTGTACTCTTGAAACCTATGATTTTATTAACCAATGCCATCTCAATAAATTTAATAAAACATACTAGAAATAAATTTATTACTTTAAAGTTGTACTAGTGAACACAGAATAAGACATATATAATGGAAATAGGAATTTTTCAAGGATAAAAGACATCTCTTTAAAATCAAATTATCTGACTATATTTATACATTTAACGTGATTCTTTTGAAAGTGGCAGGTTCTTAAAAAGTTCATTTTAAAGTTTTTTTTATCCTTTATTTTTAAAAAATTTATTGGGGGGTAACATTGGTTAATAAAGTTATATAGGTTTCAAGTGTACAATTCAATAATACATCATCTGTGCATTGCATTGTGTGTTCACCACCCAAAGTTAAATTTTCTACTTCACCATGTGTTTGATCTCTTTTATTCTTATCTATCTCTTCATTCCTTTGTTTTCCTCTGGTAACCACTAAACTGTTGTCTGTGTCTATGAGTTTTTGCTTGTCTTGTTTGTTTGTTAATTTCAGTTTTTATATCTCACATATGATTTCACTCATTTTAAAGTTCTTAAGGCATATATGAAGTGTAATGATAGCTAAAATATTCTGAAAAAGAAGTGTAATATAATATTATGAGCACTGTAAGTACTCAAGCATATTATAAAAGTAAGGATATTTTACTTATAGTTTGAATGGAAAGACAGATTAAAAATATAGGAATAAATTCGAACACATACAGAAATGTATTATATACTAAAGATGGTATTTTATATCAATGAGAACATACTGATTTGCTCAGTAAATAACAGAAATATTCAGTGTCCATTTGGAAATGAAAAATTTTTATAAATTTGAGTTTCTACCTCATTACAGACACATAAACACACACATACACAAATACCAAAGAGATCAAATGAAAAAGGAAACCATATAACATAAGGGCATAACTTATTTCATAAACTCAGAATAATAAAAACATTTTTATTTATATCAAAAAAAGCATAATGGTTAGAAGAAGTCAACCATTTTCCATTTCAGCACCCCAAAAGTATAATAGAAATTATAAAGTTAAAACAAAAATGATATCTGAGGTGAATATTACAAAACATATGGCAAAAAATGAACTAATATTCTCAACCTAAAAAGTGAGAAAAAAGTTACTTAATATAAATAAGAGCAGTCTCAAGAAATAAAATAAAACATAATTAATTCATAATAAGAAAAATAAAGTTAAATTTAAAAATAATATTGCTTATCAGATTTATACACTTAAAATGCAACTAATATTTAACGCAGAAGATGTGAACAATTAGGCTTTTAAGCTTAAACTTGTACTACATAATTGGCATAGCTTCTTTGGACTGAAATTTCCAATTATTACAAAAATTTAAAAAGCAAATGCCCTTTGCATCAGTAATTACCCTTTAGGAAATTTCTCCTAGAGAGGTACTCAGAAACATGCATAGATGTGTGTGAATTGTTATTTATATAATGATCTCTAATAGTAAAAACTAAGAAACAATTTAATATGCATTTAAACAATTAAGTCTGTCAGTAATTAGATATTGTTCATATACCAATGAAACAATACAAGCAGCCATTTATAAAAATTTGACAACTTTATGACATGATATAGAATAATCATGATATTTTCTTAAGTGAAAAAATCATAGAATATTTTGTATAGTTTCTTAAATATGTGTTTTTAAAAGGGGGAACTGTGAATATTTATTATTGCATCTCTGAAAATTTTTAAAAATGATAACCATAATTTATTCTAGGAGATAACTGTAGAACTTATAGAGAATAAAAAAGGAATATTGTATTTTTATAGTCTTATTTTTTAATCATTTATAAAGAACTATGTTATCCGTTTTGAGCAAAATAAGGAAAAAGCACTGATATCAGCCCCACATAAAAACACTCTAACTTTTATGTTAAATATGAAAATATCAGAACCTTTGTCTTTTTCTCATTTTCTCATTCTTTCTTTGACAGACTCTCCAGTTTTCCTTGCCCGTTCCATTGCTGTAGCTATGGGAATTCGTTTCATTATAATGGTAACAATATGTAGCGCCATAGTTATAAATTGTAAGTGATAACAGAGAAGTAGATAGCAGAATTGTTGATCTAACGATTGTATTATATTACTTTGATTAATATTCAGAAATACAGAAACAAGCTAGCAATATTAATTAAGTGTCCTTATATTTTCGCTATTAGTCTAAAAACTTGTCAACTATTTTTAAATTTTTTTTCATGGACTATGTTACTAACAACACAAAGCCTTCTAATAATTATGATTATTTTAATAGCATTATTCAACCAAACGACTCCAATTTCTTTGAATGGTAAGTGAAAGTTTTCTAACATTTTGAAGCACAAATTGCATGCATCTATGTATACTTGGGTTTAGGCATGTATCCAATGGCATTAACAAGAAAGTATGTAAAAAGATAATTAATTCTTGTCCACGATTCACTGTAACTTTTTAAATTTTATGTTATTTTTTACAATGAGAAAGTACTTGTAAAAAGTAGAGAACATAGTTTTAGTCTGTATATTTATCTGTCTATCTACCTACCTATCTATCTATCATCTATCTATCATCTATCTATCATCTATCTATCTAACAGGGTATAGAGATATGTCATTGGGTATGACCAAAAGGGCTTAATTATCTAGACTTTTAGAGTTAGAATAAAAAGGATATTTAACTTGTCTAAACAAAATCTACTATAATGTTCAGACATGTGCAGAATTAATAATATATTCTCTCTTTCTAGAAAGTTACTGTGGCCCATGTCCTAAAAACTGGATATGTTATAGAAATAACTGCTACCAATTTTTTAATGAGAGCAAAAGCTGGTCTCAGAGCCAAGCCTCTTGTATTTCTCAAAATTCCAGTCTCTTGAAGATATACAGCAGAGAGGACCAGGTTAAGTACTGTTTTAATTCCTCTTCCTATATTTAGTTCTAACGTATAAAGCATATGTTAGGATGAATATGAATCTGAAATATAATAGAAGCACTAAGTCTCAGATATACCAACCGTGAATCATTCTGCATTAAAAATAAGAAAGTACAACAATTACAGGTATTATGTATGTGTTGTTTAAGTTGGAATTATGCTAGAGGACAGAATGCATTTTCCCCAAGTGCAGGAAATAAATGATTAAATGATTATGGCCTTGTAGTTACTAAAACTTGAGTACTGACTTTATTTGTGATTTCAAACAGGATTTCTTTAAATTGGTAAAGTCCTATCATTGGATGGGACTAGTACAAAATCCAACAAATGGATCTTGGCATTGGGAAGATGGTTCCATTCTCTCACCCAACCAGTAAGTCTATACCAATAGGTCTCTATTTGTGGATTTGTCCCTGAGCTATTCCTATGATCACTTAACTATCGTATTTTCCTTCACACGATACCAGGACATTCCCATATGCTAATAGATTCAGCAAAAAACTCTTAGAGATTAAATTTAGTAGATCGTGGAGCAGAACAGTCAATACCAGTAATAATGAGTAATATTAATTGTTTGTTATGTGCTAAGTACTGCACAAGATAGGTCTAACATAATGCTCATTTTATAGATGAGGAGTCTAAAACAGAGGTTAAGTATCACATACATTCTTTTTTTGATCTTATTACCAGATTTGTAGAGATATAATTGACGTTCAATAAAGTGCACATATTTAAAGTATACAATTTGATAAATTTTGACCATTAATGACATCAAGATAATTAGCATATTTATCACCTGCAAAAGTTTCCCTTTGCATCTTCATAATCCCTCCTTCATGCCCCTCCTAACCTACCTCTTTTTGTCTCCAGACAACTAGACTGCTTTCTCTCATTATAGATTAGTTTATAGTTTATAGAATTTAATATAAATGGAGTCCTACAGTATGTACTGTTTTTATGTCTGGCTCTTTTACTCAGTATAGTTATTTTAAGATTAGTCACTTCATAGCATGTAAAAGGGTTAATTTCTTTTTATTCTTGAGAGGCATTCCATGTATGAGTGTTGCTCAATTTGTTTATCCTTTCACCTATTGATGGGCATTTGGGTTTTTGACTATTATTTGCTATAAAAATTTGCATACAAGTCTTTGTATAAACATCGGCTTTCCTTACCTAAAGATCTAGAAGTGGAACAGAGAAATGCTTATTCAGGTCCTCTGCCCATTTTTTAATTGGATGTTTGTGTGGTTTTTTCAGTGTTGAATTGTATGGGTTCTTTATAAATTTTGGATATTAATCCCTTATCAGATGTATCATTGGCAAATATTTTCTCTCATTCAGTAGTTTGTCTTTTCGTTTTGTTGATGATTTCCTTTGCTGTGCAAAACCTTTTTATTTTGATGTAACCCCTTTTATTTTTATTTTGTTTTCCTTGCCTGAGAGGATATATCAGAAAAAAATATTACTAAGAGGAATAACAGAGAATTTACTGTTCATGTTTTCTTCTAGGAGTTTTATGGTCTTACATTTAAGTCTTTAATCCATTTTCAAGTTTATTCCTGTATATGGTGTAATATGGCATTCCAGTTTTATTTTATTTTATTTTATTTTGGATGTTTCTGTCCAGTTTTCCTAATACCATTTATTAAATAGACTATTTACCCCATTGTTTATTTGTGTCTCCTTTGCCATAGATTGAATGACCAAATAGGTGTGGATTTATTTCTGGGCTCTCTCTTCTGTTCCACTGTTCTATGTGTCTGTTTTTGTGCCAGTACCATTGTGTTCTGATTACTACAGCCTTATAGTATAGTACAATATCAGGTAGTGCGATACCTCCATCTTTATCCTTCATTCTCAAGATTGTTGTGGCTATTCAGGATCTTTTATATTTCCATATAAATTTCTGGATTATTTGTTCTAGTTCTGTGAAAAATGTCATTGGTATTTTGATAGGGATTGCATTGAATTTATAGATTGCTTTGGGTAATATGGGCGCTTTAACGATGTTAATTCTCTTCCATGAGCATGGTATATGCTTTCATTTATTTGTATCTTCTTCAATTTCTTTTTTCAATGACATTGTTTTCTAAGAAAAGGTCTTTTACCTCCTTGGTTAATTTATGCCTAGGTATTTTATTGGTTTTGATGCAATTGTTATTGGAATTGCTTTCTTAATTTCTCTTTCTGATAGTTTATTATTGGTGTATAAAATGCAGCTGATTTCTGAATGTTAATTTTGTATCCTGTTACTTTACTTAATTCATTGATCATTTCTAACAGTTTTTGGTGGAATCTTTAGGGTACTTTCAATGTAGTGTCATGTCGTCTGCAAATAATGACAGTTTTACTTCTTCCTTTCCAATTTAGATGCTTTTTATTTCTTTTTCATATCTGATTGCTGTTGCTAGGACTTCCAATACTATGTTGAATAAAAGTAGTGAAAGTAGACATCATTGTCTTGTTCTTGCTCTTAAGGAAAATGCTTTTAGCTTTTCCCCATTGAGTATTATGTTAGCTGTGGGTTTGCCATATATGGCCTTCATTATGTTGAGATATGTTCCCTTTATTAGCATTTTGATGAGAGTTTTTATCATAAATAGATGCTGGATTTTTTCAAATGCTTTTTCTGCATCTATTGATCTGATCATATGATTTTTACCTTTTAGTTTGTTAATGTGGTGAACCACATTAATTGATTTGCAGATATTGAACCAAACTTGCATCCCAGGAATAAATCCCACTATCAAGTATTTTTTAAATGTATTGCTGAATTCGATTTGCTAATATTTTGTTGAGGATTTTTGCATCTATGTTCATCAGAAATATCAGCTTATAATTTCCTTTTTCTGTAATGTCTTTGTCTGGTTTAGGAATCAGGGTAATAGTGGCCTCGTAAAATGAGCTTGGGAGCCTTTCCTGCTCTTGAACTTTTTGGAATAGTTTGAGAAGAATAAGTGTTAATTTTTCTTTGAATGTTTGGTAAAATTCACCTGTGAAGCAATCTGGTTCAGGACTTTTGTTTGTTGGGAGTTTTTTGACTACTGATTCAATTTTATTCATAGTAATAGGTTGGTTCAGGTTTTGTTTCTTCTTGACTCAGCCTTAGGAGATTGTACTTTTCTAGGAATTTATCTATTTCTCCCATATTGTCCAATTGGTTGGCACACAATTGCTTGCAGTATTTTCTTATAATCCTTTGTATTTCTGTGGAGTTAGTTATCACTTCCCATCTTTTATTTCTGGCTTTATTTATTTGGGTCCTCTCTCTTTTTTTCTTGATGCATCTGGCTAAAGGTTTATCAATTTTGTTTATCTTTTGGTTTCATCGATCTTTTTTATTGTTTCCCTAGATTCTTTTTTATTTCCACTCTGATATTTATTATTTCCTTCTTTCTGCTCACTTTGGGCTTTGTTTACTATTCTTTTTCTAGTTTCTTTAAGTGTAAGTTTAGATAGTTTATTTGAGATTTTTCTTGTTTCTTGAGGTTTACCTGTATTGCTATGAATTTTCTTCTTAGGACTGCTTTTGCTGTGTCCCATAACTTTTTAGTTGTTGTATTTTCATTTTTTTTTGTTTCAAGGGACTGCTTTTGCTGTGTCCCATAACTTTTTAGTTGTATTTTCATTTTCATTTGTTTCAAGGGAATTTTTTCTTGATTCTTTTTTAACCCACTCATCATTTAGTAGGATGTTATTTAGCCTTGAAATGTTTGTGGATTTTTCAGTTTTCTTCTTGTGGTTGATTTCTAGTTTTATCTTATTGTGGTTAGAGCAGATGCTTGATATGATTTCAATCTTCTTAAATTTATTGAGACTTGTTTTATGGACTAACATGTGGTCTACCTTAGGAAATGTTCGATGTGCACTTGAGAAGAATGAATATTCTGCTTCTTTGAGGTGAAATACTCTAAAAATATCAGTTAAATCCATCTGGTCTAGTGTGTCATTAAAGGCCATTGCTTCTTTGTTGATTTTCTGTCTGGAAGATCTGTTCATTGATGTCAAAGGGGTTTTAAAGTTTTAGCTATGACTGTATGACTGTTGATCTCTCCCTTTATGACAGTAAATATTTTCTTTATATATTTAGGTGTTCCTATGTTGGGTACATAAATGTTTACCAGGGTTATATCCTCTTGTTGGATTGATCTCTTTATCATTATGTAATATCCTTGCCTCTTATTATAGCCTTTGTTTTAAGGTCTATTTTGTCTGATATAAGTATTGGTTCCCCAATACTTAAATGATTTTTTTTTCATTTCCATTTGTATGAAATATCTTTTTCCATCTCTTTCAGTCTGTGTATGTGTCTTTCAATCTGAAGTGGGTCTCTTATAAACAGCATATGCATGGGTCTTGTTTTCTTATCCATTCAGCTACCCTATATCTTTTGATTGTACATTTAATCCATTTACATTGTAATTATTGTTAAGTACACAGTTATTATCATTTATTATTGTTATTTATGTTTTTTTCCCCTCCTTATTCTTTTTAAACATTTCTTGTAACACTGGCTTAGTGGTGATGAGATTTTATAGCTTTTTTTCTGTCTGGGAAACTTTTATCTCACCTTCAATTTTAATTGATAGCATTGCTGGGTTTAGTAGTCTTCGTTGTAGGTCCTTGTTTTTCATCGCTTTGAATATTTCATCCAATCCATTCTGACCTGCAAAGTTTCTTTTGAGAAATCAGCTGACAGTCTTATGGGGCTCCCTTGTAAGTAACTAGCTGCCTTTTTCTTGCTGCTTTTAGGATTCTCTCTTTGTCTTTAACATTTGGTATTAATCATAATTAATTATGATTAATTATGTCTTGGTGTAGACCTGTTTGGGTTCATCTTGTTTGGGATCCTCTGTACTTCCTAGACTTGTATCTCTATTTCTTTCATCAGATTATGGAAGTTTTCTGTCATTATTTCTTCAAAAAGTTCTCAGTCCCTTGCTGTCTCTCCTTCTGGTACTCCTATGATGAGAATGTTGGTATGCTGATGTTGTCCCAGAGGTCCCTTAAACATTCCTCACTTTTTTCAATTCTTTTTTATTTTTGCTGTTTCAGTTGGATGTTTTCTGCTACCTCATCTTCAAATTGCTAATTTGATCCTCTGCTTCATGTAATCTATTGTTGATTCCTTCTAGTGTACTCTTTGTTTCAATTATTGTATCCTTCATTTCTAACTGGTCTTTTTTTATGGTTTCTATGTCCCTTTTTTTGCTTACTATCTCTCTTCGAAGTTCTAACTGAGATCATCTAGTCTTCCTCTAAGTTCGCTGAGCATCCTCATAACCAGTTTTGAACTCTGCTTCTGGTAGGTTGCTTGCCTCCATTTCATTTAGTTCTTTTTCTGGAGTTTTCTCCTGTTCCTTTATTTGGGGCATGTTTCTCTCTCTCTCTCTCTCTCTCTTTTTTTTTTTTTTTTCATTTTGGCTGCCTCTCTGTTCATTTCTATGTATTAGGTAGATTTGCTATGTCCAGTCTTGGCTGGGTCGCCTTATGTAGTAGGTGTCCTGCTTGGTCCTAGCAGAGTCTTCCTGGTCACCTGCTCTGGGTGCTCCAGGGGTGGGTTGTGTGTGCTCTCCTGTTGTAGTTAAGCCTTAATTGCTGTTGGCATATCAATGGGTGGGATTGGTTGTGAGGACTGGCTACACCAACAGAGCATGAGCTGCAGTGTGGGGGCTGACCCCACAGAGTGGGATTAGTCCCAGCAGGCTCATGCACCTGCTAAGACCACCCTTTAGGTGTATCACTTGTGCTAATGAGGTAGTGTTCTGTTGTGGTCTGATGCCAGCCTCCAAGTGTGTTGGTTCTGGGATCCCTTGGTCAACAGCTGCCTGTGACTGCCTGGGGTTACCTGGTAGGAGCTACAAAGCAATCTGTGTTTGGTCTCTGCTTGTGCAAGTGTGGAGAGGCCACGCAGCAAACCGAGGCTGGCTGCCACAAACATCGAGCCTGGAGTAGTTCAGCAAAGGGTCCAGAGCTCCCCAAGGTTGGAGGCCACCTACTGGCTGCCTACAGAATCAGCAACTGAAGGAGTCTTGGGTGGTACATGAGTTGGGTGAGGCAAGGTCCCAGAAAGTCACCAGGGTGAGATGAGTGGCACTCCCCAGGTTAGTGCAGACTCAGATTTGGTGCCAGTGCTGAACCTGTGGCCATTTGCAAAAAGCCTCAGATCACACTGAGGCCATCTGCCATCTGCCTGGGTTCCACAGACCCCTGAGATTTGTTCAAGAAACACTGTAGCTCAGAAAAGGACTGGTTGCCCATCACCTAAACCATCCTCATATTGAAGTAGCATCATCATTTTTCCCTCAGCCTTCTAATTTATCTGTTCCTGGAAGAAAACAAATTGCTATTTATTACATTAATCATATAATTATAAAATACTCAATTGCAGAGTAAAATATATATACACATATAATCATCTCTATGCAGAATGCTTACACACACACACACACACACACACACACACACTTATGTATGTGTGTATATTTATATTAGAAAATTTTACAATTTTTAAAAATTTTCTTACCAAGTAAAATTGCATATATCTGTAGATTGTATATTTTTCACAAAAATGACATTAAATTCTGAATTCATTTCTAATCTAAATATTTGTTTAAAAAAACATTTTAAAGCTTTCATTTCTCTCAGGTACACATATGAAGAGATCCCAGAATTTCTAAATTGACTAATTTCCACTGTGTAAAAATGGTAGCACATGATTTATAAGAAAATGCAATTTTTACTTTTATTATCTGAGTTGGCTATATTTTGCATATCTGTGAATTAAGAAAGGCCACGCATGGTCTTAAAATATTATATTTTATATATAATTATATATAAATATTATATTTTATGTGTTATTATATATAAACATTATATTTTGTATTATATGCCTATATTTAAATAAATATTATTTCATTTTTACATCCCTGCATTAATAAAGTTATAAATGTAATTTGTCTTTCTCTCTAATCTAGACTAACATTGGTTGAAGTACAGAATGGAACCTGTGCTGTTTATGGCTCAAGTTTTAAAGGATACACAGAACATTGTTTAAATCCAAACACATACATCTGCATGCAGAGGATTGTATAAAAAGCTATTGTTTATAAAATATAAAGAATTCAAAGACACAAAAGCCATTCTCCGACCGTTCTTCATGAAGAAAACTTCCAGAAGAAAACTTCACCAATATTTATTAAATATTTTTCTATCTCACATGTCATAAAACATAACCTTGCAGCCAATAAAGGCTAACAATTAAAGAATAATATTCTATAAGTAGTCTGGGTAAAGTATATACTGTAACCTTTTGTACTATTTTTTCATAGTTTCTGTAAGTGTGAAGTTATGTCAAAATAAAAGCTAAAATAAACAAACAAACAAAAATTCTGCAGTCATCCTTGAAGTCTCTCTTTCTTTTACACATTGCATCTAATATATCAGTAAATCTTATACACATACACATAAACATACACGCACATCATCATTTCTTATCATCAACATTTCTATCAGATCTGCTGATGAATGTGAAAATTTGTTGATGAATTGTGAAAATTTAATTTTTCTTAAATACTTTATTTTACCTTAATCTTTGAAAGATATTTTTACTGGATATTATTTTGGCAGATATTTTTGTTTGTCATTTTCAGAGTGAAATACAATTAAATTCTGCCTTCTATTATTATTTCTGTTAAGAAGTTAACTGCCTAACTTATTGTTGTTTTTCTCTTTTTCTGATTAATGGTAATATTTTCTCTTCATCTTTGTCTTCAGCATTTTGACTGTATTATGCCTTTCTATTTTTTCCATCCCGAGTTTACCAGGGTTTTTTTTTTTTTGGCATTTTTTGTCTTATTTTTTCTCTGCTGTCATTCTATGACTCTAGTTCTTCATACACTTGTCCTGTTGAGTATGTAACATGTTCAATTCATGCATTTATCTGTTTTTATTTTTCTAGTTTATTGTTTCTGTGCTTCAGTTCATGTATTTTTATATTGATTAGTCTTTGAGTTCAGCGATACTACATTTTTTTTATTTCAATTTGCTATTTAATCTGTCCATTGAGTTCTTAATTTCAGATATTATAGCTTTTTCAGTTTTAGAATGTCTATTTGGTTGTTTTTGGAAATTCAAAATTTCTGGGTAAATTCTTAACAACGGCATCTATTTTTGTTTATTTTTTTTATAATTGTAGAATACATTTATCATGTTTATTTTAAAGCCCTAGTCTGGTAATTCCATATATAGATTATTTGTGGTGTGTGTGTGTGTGTGTGTGTGTGTGTGTTCTTGATTATTTATTTGCCTTTGTGAAAGTCTTGTAATTTTTTCTACTGTATGCCAGATATTGTGTATAAAAGCATAGAGATCCAAATAAAGTTATTTTCCACCAGAAAGAGCTGACTCTCTTTTAAAATTTTCTTTAAAGTGGACAGGGTGGGGATGTAATTACTTTAATGAGGGAATTAGAGGGATTAATAGTCTTGGTAATGCTGAGTTACCTCAGCCTTGTAATCTATGAGAAATTCAGTTATTTTTATATATAAGTTTTTAGCTTCTTACCACACACAACATCAAAGTTTGGCAAATGTGTTGAGGGTGATACCAGCCAGCCACATACTTAAAATGCCACCATTCTCCAGTTTTGTCATTGTTTTCCTTCTTTGTGAATAGTAAAATCTCCACTAATTTTTATTTTCTGAAGCCATGGCTTAGTGCCAAGGGCCAAGTTGGTTTCTCAGGTTCTTGCTATTCCCAGAATCAATCATTGTGACCAAGTCTGACTGTGCTATAGATCCCACATGTAGATTACTCCAGTGTCACTTCTTCCACCCAAGGTTTTCATATGCTCCTTTATTTGTTTGTTTGTTTGTTTAAGCACCTTCTGGCTAGTCTCTGTTTCTTAAAAACCAAAACTTTGGGAAATCCTTGTTTTTCCTCACAAGCTTTTGGTTTTGCTTTGTAGTCATTTATTTTGTCAAGGATTTAGCAAATGTCTTGTGGGAAAAGTGACAATTTGCGGTCCTTCAGATCTCCAGTGTTGACATTCTAGTGCATGTCACCACTAACAACTTTACCAGTTTCTCTTCCCTTGGATACAGATTCTCTGCCTTAGACAAGCTCTGATCTACAAAACAAACAAACAATAAACAATGACACATTGCCAATTTATACTCCCTACTCTGGAATTTAAGCTAATTTAATCATTCCATAGATCTTTGCTGCCTCAAAAACTTAAAAAACACATCCTTCTTTTACTGTTTTGACTTTTTTTTTTTTTAATCTATGGCATTTTGTCTGGAAACAGAAATGTTATCTGTTGAGGTCTTGCTTCATGTTACTAATATTCTCCTTTATCTCACTGAGGATTTCTTAGACTATTTAAAATTTTTGTTAAATCTGTGCTGTTAATCTACTGTATGAAATAGAATTTTACTTTGCTCTATTTCTTTTAGAGGAGTTGTGCTTCTTAGGGATCTAATACTTTTTGCCTGTGGCCCCATGTGGTTTCAGTAACCCTGTTTATGATTGCGTATAGATGTGGATGGATCTGTTCTACTATTTCTTATGTCAGTCGGGTGAGTTAAAGACTGAGAAAACTCTAAAGAAATCAAAGACTGCCTCACAGTTTTCAAACCTCTGTGTTTTCTGGGTTTTTTTTTCCCCCCTCCTGGATTGTAATGTGTATTTATTACTGTGATTACTTTATTAATGCCTGTCCTTCCCTTTAGTTTGTAAGCTTCATGAAAGCAGGCATAGTTGTTTGATATGTACAACTATATATTTCAGAACTTAAAGCTCAGTGCCTGACAAATGGCAGGAAAAAATCTTTTTTTTGAAGAAGTAAATTCTGTCCATTTATTTCACTCCAGTGGACCTTATCTTTTTGCACATTGTATGGCTAAGAAAGTTTTAATATCTCTTGCTTTCTATAACTACTTATTAATGATTATTTTCTATCTTATCAAAAATGTAATTTTACTTTGACATTCATTTTAATAGGCAATTTTATCTTTTTATGCTGATCATTCATTCCCTTCATAGATGATCATAATGAGGCAAAGAAAGACTGGCATTTTACATAAACCTAAACATGAGTATAAGACTATTTTGAAAAAATGTATTATAAAAGGACTGGAAGATTTAAATGTGGCAAAACTGGATTTATTTAATATCTCTGTCCCAGGAATGGAGGGGAACTAGATGGGTTCCACAAGCAGCTGCCTGGGCCCTGACTGTCAGCGTGCTCTCTCCCGTGGCTGCACAGTCTCACCCAGGGCATGCACACTGCAATGAATGCTGGTGATAGGAGTAGGATGGTGGCACGTAAGTGCACAGCTGGAGGGCCTAGCCTGTGTGAGCACAGTGGTGGCAGTTACCTATGGATGCCTAAGCTTGAGTCTTGCACTTGTGCAGCTGCAGAGTCTTGGGTTAGTTGCCAGAGCAGTTCCTGAACTCCAGTGGGAGCCAAGAATGGAAGGTTGTAGGGAGGGACTCAGGCTACTGGTGTCTGTGAAGGCAAATAACTGTGGGGTGAAAGCCCGTGAAATCTGCAAGAGTCCCAGGAAGCTGTATTGGTAGGTCTTTTGTTTCTCAGTGGTAAAATCAGCTGGGCTTTTTGCAGAGCAGGTTAAATAAAATATTTTGACAAAGCAGTGCGCAATACTTTTTTTCTTTTGGTGGTTACAGAGGAACTGGTCATTCAGATTCTAAGAAGAGTAGCAATGAGTTGTGGCTGGGCTAAGCTTTAATTATATTGAGTTACTCTGGTTACTTTTAATATGCCTTATCACTGCATCACCAGCCCTAAGTGTCTGATCTCTTAGCTGTTGTCAGTAGTTGATCTGTCAGGGGGTTTGGCTGAGTTTCATTCAAAATGTTGGTTCATCTTTGTATTAAACTCCAGCAGGGCTCTAGAAACTAAGCACCCCAGAAATGCTTGAGATTGTGCAAATTTTATTCATTTTTTCACTCCTTTCTCATGTCATGTTCTAAGAAAAATACCCCAGGTGGGACATGGGCAGAATTGTAAGAACAAGTTTATTTTTTGTACTTGGAGCTCTTAAGATTCCAGGTTATGCCACCAACACACATCGGTTTGAAAATCTCTTGATTATGGTCGGCCCTCTCCTCTGCTCACAGTAATCAGACTAGCTCTTTCCTTCGAGTAATGTAAACTGCAGTGCTCCTCTCCTCACTGATGGGGTTTCGTCCTTTGATAAAATTTTGATCATAGAAGCTTCATTATATCCCATTCTACTTTCATAAATCTACAGAAAAATCATAAATCCATTACAGTAAAATTTATCATTTTTTCCATGTAGTCACCAAAGAGTAAAGGTCATTCTAATCCTTTCATATTTTGACTGGATTTATTATTTTATAGATGTTTAAATTTCCATTTAAATGTTCTGTCTAATCAAGAGATTATTTAAAATAATATTTTTGATTCTAATTAATATTGAGATAATTATTTGAGAATTTTTAAGATCTTTTATGAATGGTAATGACAATAATATATTTTATAAATTTGACAAATTTATGTTAAGTATATACATTTAATATGTGAAATCGAAAGGATTTCACAGTATTCATTGTACTGTTTAAACTAACTCTGTCTTTAATACCTATTTTATTAAAAGATTAAGCTGGTAAATGTTAAGCTAGCCTTATAGAGTGAGTTCAGAAGTGCTCTTTATCTATTTTCTGAAATAGTTTATATAATATTGAAAAATATAGTCTATGAAATTTTCAGAGAAAGCTTCACAAAGCCCTATGCTTTTTTTCATAGGAAGAATTTAAGCACTAATTTAATATTTTTATGGTTTTAAAATTATTCAAGTTGGATAAGTTGTGTTCGCCTAGGCATTTCTTCATGTCATTGACATTTTCCAGGTTTTTTGCAATGACTTAAAATTTTTTGTCATATTGCAGTTTATTCTCCTCTTCATAATAATGTTCTTTGTCTTACATTCTGTTTTACATAATATCAATAGAGACTGGAAAATTTTACTTTGGTCAGTTTTCCCTTGATATGTCTTTTCCTTTACTTGTACTTTCAAACTTGGTGTGTTTTCATTAATCAGTCATATCTCCTTAAAATTGCATATAAATGTGTAAACAGCATACAAATTATTT